TTCATCTCCCCCCCGGAGCTGCTTCCCCTTCAGTGTGGCAGCACTGCAATGGGCCCTGGACCGGGAGGCTTTGGCAATGATGTTTTTCTCCGATGATGCTAATATCATTCTGCTGGTTTCTCTTGTGAACGGAAATCAAATGACATTTCATTCAGTTATAGATCTGCTTCTCACATTCATTGTGCTGCTGGAAGTGAGCAAAGCGTGGAGCCACACATTTCTTCTCAATTCTGAATTAAAAACTAAAGTGTCTAGTGGTGTAATAGAAAGCAAGAGTCAAGCAATAAAATGTCTCGAGAAATCTTTGGGTTGATATGATCTGCTTAGGGCTTATTTCACTCATACCTTTGATTGTGTTCTACCTTTAACTTACCATTGAGAAGGGGCTTTCTGCAGCCTGTTCTGCTCTGCTTACCTGGCACAAGCTGCTGAGTACAGCCACCTCCTCATCATTAGTTTGAGCGATGGCTAAATAGATTTCCTGTGACAGTGGCATGCCAATTTCCCACAAGCAAAACATGCAGGTTCCTGAGCACCATTTGAGAGGGGATGGAGGAGAAAAATTGGCCCTTATTATAAGAAGTTGATTATATAAAATAAAAGCAACATTGTTAGTACAGGAAGTTGTGTTATTCTACAGCCCTCTCTCAACATGCAAAGCTGTTATTTTGTAAGAGTCAACCTTTAATGACGCTCTGCTACCAAAGTCCCTTGCGAATCATCACTAGCAACTCATTAGCACTATGCTAAGCTAATGGATCAGTAAATGGATTTTTATGTGGGCATAAATGCTAATTCGCTACACTGCGGCGCCGTTCAACAATGCTGTGTTTAGCAAGACAGTCTGAGCCTCGAGGGTGTGTTTGTGTCTCATTAGGCTCGGCCAGGGATCCATTCTGGATGGGGAAGACTCAGCAGCAAAACTGAAATACAGCGATGAAGGCCCGCAGTGCTGGAGCACTTATCCCTTGTGCTGGCCCTGATGGTTTTATTCAAGAGGAAAAAAGATATCCCACAAGTGCTGACACAATTGCTTTTTTAAAAGCACAAAAACAGCCAGTAAGATCAAGTGTCAGGTGTTATTGTGTTACATGGTGGTTGCTGCTAGCTGGGATTCACATAGACACAAGCTAAAGGCACTTGATAACACTCGAGCTACGATATATCTGAGGGAAAAAAATGCTCTCATGCAAGCATAGCATGACGAGTTTCGCCCCTCCACTGATCCCACTTTAGTGTTATTCCATGATGGGCAAACATTTACTGCATGGTTATTCGGCTGTAGCTACAATACATAGCATCACTTTTTTTTATGTGTCAATTACAGGGCAATTCCCAGAGCTGATTGAGAAATGTAATCAGATTTTATGGCGGTAATCTGCGTTGAGAAGTGCAACTACACATTTTAACAAATGTACAGGGTGGGCCATTTATATGGATACACCGTAATAACATGGCAATGGTTGGTGATATTAAAGTCCTGTTTGTGGCACATTAGTATATGTGAGGGGGCAAACTCCTCAAGATGGGTGGTGACCATGGTGGCCATTTAGAAGTCGGCCATCTTGGATACATCTTTTGTTTTTTCAATAGGAAGAGGGCCATGTGACACATCAAACTTATTGGTAATGTCACAAGAAAAACAATGGTGTGCTTGGTTTCCAGTGTGGCCACCATGAATGGCCACCATGGTCACCACCCAGGATGAGGAGTTTGCCCCCTCACATATACTAATGTGCCACAAACAGGACTTTAATATCACCAACCATTCCCATGTTATTACGGTGTATCCATATAAATGGCCCACCCGGTATAATAAGTGACATCAGATTTTCTTCAAACCTTTATCACACTCAATTTTTCCCTTTAACAAATGCTAGATAATCATAAAGATTATGTAAAAGTCATATTTTTATAACATCAATATATGATAGAATCCACATTACAAAGAGTTTTTATTCTGTCACAGTAGCTTCCTGACAGCTCACTGTCTGGTGTAGTAAAGGTTTTCTGATATCCAGTGAAATACTGTGCTGTAATGTAGATGGAATGGAGGAAAAATACCACATTTGTTGATCCCGACAGAAGCCCACATCCAAAACCCTGAGACAGCAAGACATACAAGGAAAGTGGAAGGAAGCAGCAGGGACAGGCCTTGTTGAAAGGACATCTCTGAGTGGGAGTTGAGTGGGAATACTGGCTCAGTAGCATCCGCAGAAACCACATGCCTCAGTCTTTTTACAGTCAGGTGGAACACCTAATATTCTTGATGGTACTAATGCTACATCATGACCTAGAAATATCACTCGCAGTGAGCCAATAAGAAAAACAGTGCCAATTCATAAATCAATAATAGCAAGGCAAAGCATTTTACGAATACCTTACTTCCCCTTAATTTTACATTTCTTTAAGATTTCCTGGAAAGAACTCGGTCATTTGAGAGAATACAGCAGAGCCAGCTGACTCAGGAGGCAGAGTGGCGGCCTCCGCTGATCAGTCCACTGCTCCACTGGCCCGCATGTCAAACTGTCCATTACTGGTTGAATGAAGAACAAAGTTCTGTGTGTAGGCTGCAGTGTAAAATTTTTTGAGTGGCCAATAAGATTAGAAAAACACTAAATGAATTCCACCGTAGAGCCACAGTTGTATAGAGTTTAATTAGTTTTACAGTAATTAGCAGGAAAGGTGGGTCTTAAGAGAGATTTACAGTAGAAATCCGATGCATTTACACTCTCGTACTTTACTCTAAATATATACAGTATGGTAGACAAATTATCACCTAACTGGCTTTTGCTGTGACCAGTATATGCAAGGTCATGCTGGCTTAGCAGTTAATTAAAAATACTTACAAGCACTTACATTTAAAACTGCTTTTAGTTTCCCATTAATGAGGACTTTTTATAGACCTGTGAAAGAAAACAAAAGCCTCATGAAATTTATAAAACTTTTCAACCTTTTATACACAATGGGTTAAGTGGCTCTGAGCAATTAAATAACTAAATAGACATTAACATTTGGTAATTATATATTAAGCAGGGGTATAAGAGAGTATTAGTTCCTAAACAATGCCTTAGGGTTTCATATAGCCACACAGCTCTGAGTAAACTGTGACATAGAATAAATCAGATTAATATTTACTCTGCCTGTTTTAATTGTGAGAAGTATGGGAACATTTCTGATGCAATTATATGCAATTATAACTTGTAGCATTATATGTCAATATCCACTTGCCATATTGTGGAATAATACTAAAATAATAAAGACATAAGGCAACTTTTGTAAAGCGATATGTTATACAGTGAATAACTCGGTTATCTGTAATGAAATCTATTCTCTACAGTTACTTCAGGTATAGTATTACACAATGCATTCAATATTTTTTTTCGTTATTATCATAATTTATCTCACATACCGTTACTATGTCATTTTCAGACTCTGGGTTTTTTTTTCAGCTATTTTTTAAAATAAATGCTGTCTGAGAAATACAAACATAATATCTATATACATTACAGCCATGTGTTGCCGGGTAAAAATCTGTCATAAAGATGATATACCGCCTTAGAGAACCTTGTTGTTGCTTAGATGCTAGAAAGTGAAAGTAGCGGTCAAAATGCACAGCTTTTACTTTGAAGGTCCCAAAAAGTTGTATGATAGTGCACTGAAAACCTCCTTGAGAATATTTTGGTTACAGATGTGGCCAACAAGAATTTGTATACAAAACACCAACTTGTCTGCAAACAGTTGCCAACTACTTGCGAAGTGGTAGGGAAATTATAAAAAGGGCACAACCTAGAAATGGACACCACGTGCTGTCAAACTTAGCAAGTGTTCGCATCCATGTCCGGAATCTTCCATGAAAACTATGGGCGACTGTAGCAACGTGCTATTAACCAAAGCAACCACAAGGAGGGTTTTGTGGTAATGCCCTCTGTGAATGATTTCACCAAGTGACAGCCAGCAACCTCTCAACAACAATACACATATTTGCCTAGCAACTGGAGGCTGTCAAGGGGTCGAAAACCAGTCGCTAGCCCTGTGTGACTGGGACCATACCAGACTTACTTTGATGACATGTTCTAGCATAAATACTTGTCAGATTTGGACATTTTTCAGATGCAGAGCCAGAGGAGGTTTATGTATGTCCATCTGTTCTTATCTATCATTGAGTAAAATCCGTCAGTGTTACTGTCCTGCTTAGAGTCACTGCAGCAGCTCCTGCGCTGACAGTGAGGCAAAACAAAGGGACAATTTACTTACGGTGAGTGCCAACCATAGAAGTGATAAATAAAGGCAGCATGAAATCAAAGAAATGGGATCAGGTGGAAATTGGTATTTTCTCACAACACAGAAGACTGTGTACTGACCTGGAAAACACACGCACACACACACACACACACACACACACACACACACACACACACACACACACACACACACCAAATGCACAGTCCACAGCTTCTGGGAGCAGATGCTCTCTTTATATCCTCAAATGCATACATTAAGATGGAGATGTACAGGGCTTTGTAGTACAAAGAAATGAAAAAAGGGGAGCAAGGAGCAGGCACATTAACCGGAACACCTGTACATTATAATGCAACCAACTGCAATCACCCCTAGTAAAGTATCACCGTGGCGATTATTATTTTTGCAAATGGCTTGGAGAGATGTTATTCATCTGCAGACCGTAGCTCGATGTGTTTGGAATGTGTTTTATTTTTTATTTGTATTCTTTTGGAAAAATATTACTGGCGTTCACGTTATTGTGTCCACTTCTTCTGCTTCTCTCAGACTGATGCCTTTTGTGCTACTGCTCCTCTATAACTCCTTAGAGTAAGACCCATAGAACAAAAAATACATTAGTTGGATATATATATATATCAATATGTATGTATGTACATAATTTTAAATATATCAAGCATTTCTTGGCAAATAGCACATCTGGCCAGCCAAAACATTTCATATCAAAATATAGTCGGTTTAGACAAGGATTCGGAAATACATTTAATCACACATAAATCGATTTTAATTACAGAATTTTAACTTATGTGACAATACTGTTTCAATTTCAGTTTCAATTATATTTTATCCCCAATATAAATATTTCTATGTACTAAAGAAAAGACAAGAAGGAAGAAAGGAAAAGGCGAACCCAGAATTAAAATGAGATCCAACATCTGTAAAATCCCAAATGCTTCCTTTTTGCCAGATGGTGAGCTCTGGTCTGGGCGTGTCCCAAAAATATACAAGAGTATGAATAATGCATCGGATATGACTTATTTCACAGTGTATCTCTGGATGTTCCTACCCACTCACGCATACAGAAAAACATACACACACAAGCACACGTGTACTCACATATTCACACACGGACAGATGCAAACATGCACCCACACCCTTGCGCCCACGCAGACATACACACACACACACAGTATAGATCATTAAAACAAGCCAGGGGTCCACATCTGCTAAATGCTCCCAGTTGTGTGTACAAGATGTTCATTGACAAAAACTACTTTTCTAGTCTATGTTGGCACCACATAAAAAAAACCAAACAACATAAGGTATAAGCTAAGTCATCCAAAATGTCCACATTTCACCATCACGATCTCCATTCAGTGAGCAAAGACAGTCAACTCATCTGTCATCTCTTGTGTGACTTTCATGCTATTTCATAATATCCGTCCCGTTATGTGTATGCAGAGACATTGGCGGCTATGGCCTTGTAAAAATCTCACCTGGCCAAATGAGAGAAAGGTGTTAAAAGCTAGAATCCAACGGACAATATGGCCTGCCTCAACCTCTGTAAAGTCACGACTCGAGCAATGAACTGTCATTAAAGAAACTTGGCTGGAATATAACCTTGGATTGCTTCATGGCGGCGACTGTAAAGAAGATGAAGGGGCTGACTTTTGAAAGGCCTTGTGACAAGTCTAAATCAAGCCACAAAGGTATAAAAAGAATCTTCAAGGAGCTGTCCCCTGCAGATTGGGCAGTGGCAGACAAAAAGACAAAAAAAAGAAAGGCCTTCAGTGAATTTTCCACTGGTTGTTCTGGGGTTTCTCATAGGGATTTTGTTCCATGATTAGCCCATGAAGTTGGGTGTGATGAACGTTCAATGCTGATGTTGTTACCATGCTGCCCTCGTGGAGTTTTCAGACATTTCAGGTCTCTCACTGCGGTGACTGGAGATGTTATGGGTTATTTTATCTTTTATTTTTTTGTTATTGAAGGTCAGAGCCGATGTACGTTTTGGGAGCCTCATTGGTGAACGGACAAAATATCTTGGGTGTAATGACTGGCCTCGGTTTCTTTAGCAACATAGATGTCAATGAACCTGCAGCAGAAGAAAGAAAGACAAAGACAAACGTGAGACACTAACTGTGAAGTTAGATCGTTTCAGACATGCGCCTTGTTATGCAAATGTGCAGACGATTTTCTGTGTTGTGTAGCCTTTTGAATTTTATGTCAAATTCCAACATTTTCCATGGACCTAATGCTATCGCATTAACAGCAGCAGCACAAAGCAGCCTTTATTGTCGCTTTTGCCTGCTTGTGAAAAATTAACTTTTACTTTAGTAATCTAAATTAATTAGCAGATCCCTAGTGTAGTAGTTTACACACTTGCCTAACAAGCAAAAGATCCCCGGTTTAATCCCGAGAGGAGACACAAATCCCTTTGGGGTTGTGTCAGTAAGGGCATCCAGTGTAAAAATCTGCCAAATCAAACATGTGGAGCTACCTGCTGTGGTGACCCCTTGCGAATTAAGGGAGCAAGTCAAAAGCAGCTTTAATTAGATTATGGTTCCTGTGCACAGAGGAAAAGAAATAAACGCAGTCTTGTTTTTAATCATGTAACAACTAAATTAGCGTTTTCACTTCAGTAAAAAAAGAAAAAGAAAATGTGCCCTGATTTTTTTTTTTAGGGCATTCACTGCCTAACTGTGAGTATCAGAAACGCCTTTTCTTGGTGTCGCATTTTTGTCAGGGCCAAACTGCAGTCCTCATTATTTTTTTAATCAAAAACAAAACCAGTTTAGTTAACAACAAAAACAGCCAATATACAGATTCAAAGGTGTTAAAGGAAAAAAAACTGCAAGACCAGCACCACCACCCACCCACCGACTTCCCTCCTTCCACTTTAATTTTCATATTTTATCCATGTCAGCTCCAGAAAAACACTTTACATACAGAATATGAGCCAATTATGAATTTAACGAGAGACTCAAATTCAGGTCTTGTCATTCTTTGCCTGTGCATTGTCTGACATTATGAAAACAGGCATCAGGACTCTGCGTTAGGCACACTTCAACATTTGTTTTGTTAATTCCATCAAATAAATGACAAAATTAATGAGGAATGTATTAATAGAACGTCCCTCACACTCAACGGTGACTGATTTATGCTTTGACATCCATCACCATTGAAGCCTGTGAGGGAACAGGAAACACCTCATTTCCTGGATATAGTTACCTCTTTTCTTTTCTTTTGAAATCACTATTGCTTCCAGTGAATAAACACAGCACTGGTGTGACTCCACAGTTAATTATGCCACGTCTAAAAGGTAAAAAAAAAAATCTAATTATATGAGTTATGTGAAGAAATGGGTTCATATGTCATATATTCTTTTCTAGGTGGAATACGTTTCACCTGCGGTGAAATTCTGCAGTTAATGGCTTAATTTAGCCAATCATTTGATCAAAAAAACCATTTGAATGATAATAGAATTCTGCCATGAATATGTTATATGGATGAATCCATAAATGTTAATACATAAATGATTCAGGGTGACAGTGGACAAATGTGACACCCCAGGACTGACCACATAAATCATTCAGACACTTAAATATGAGTTGGCAAATCCACACAGAATTGCACAAATTCCCAGGGCTGGCAGATAAATATTTATGACGCCCCCAATTCCCCCCTTTCTCCCCGTCTTTGGTAATTGTGCGTGATTCATTTTGTTTTCTCAGTGGAAGAAGGAAAATCAATCTTAGAATATTGGCTATGAGACACACGGCATGCAGATTCCAAATGCCTGTTTTGTTTTGGGGTTTTTTTCTGTAGAATATAAAAGGTTCAGATATATTCAGTCAAGTTCTCCGATGAAGATTTCAGTTTAGTCGTTACTTCATTTCCGGAGGGAAGTTTCTGGATGTGAAGTAAACCTGAGTCAGGCTAACTTGCTACCCACTCCAGTTTACTTGCTGACTTTAAAACAAGTGGTACTGATTTAGAGGGATTTAAAGTATAATTCTTTTCTTTCTGTCTTTTGAATCTATTGTGAAATCTTTTGTAGCTTTCCTCTTGGTTACTAAAAACATTCTTCCATGTAGACATGCTTTCGATATATGTCCTGAGAGAAAACTGAACTTGAACTTGAACCTTGAAGTAGCCGCTCCCTTTGATGTAGCCACAGAGGGGCTCTTTACTTTCAGTTCTTATGCATTTCAAAAAACTGCCAATAACTCATTGCATTGTTACATCAAAGTGACTCGGAAATTGTCCCAGACCTGGACCTTTATTCAAGCTCGCCATTGAACACATACCTGGAAAATACACTATGAAATGCATTCGAGGCAGGGCCTCTCTTATTTGCTGCTTCTTTTCAAAGTTAGTATTTGTGCTTTCTACAAGATCCAACAATCAAAACATCCTTGGTTTCTTCAAATGAACTGGAAACAGGGTTATGCACTCAGCATGCAAATTATGCAAAATAGCAGATAATCACAAAACTCATACTTGCTGTTTTTCCTCTGCATCCTACGACGGCTCCTTGGGCAAAGGCTGGAAAAGAAGAAGCAGAAGGTCACTAAGGAAGAGAGGGCCGGCCTTCATTTTATTCAGTTTTCCCTCAGCTTACTGGCCTTAGACGCAGAGCAGCATATGTCCATTTAAAAGCACAGATGGCACATCTTCCAATTATATCTAAGGCGAGACGAAGGAAGCTGAAGGTTATTTTGTTCTCTACCAGATTTTATGACCTCCGAGGACACTGCTTCTCCCCTCAACCAGAAAATACGATCAAGTAATGGCCAACGCATCATCTGCATTAAAGAGCAGAGGACCTCTCTTTTCTTCCATCAGTGGCGTCACACTTTTTTTTTCATCACATTAGCTGTGAGGCAGGGTGATAAACAGTGTTCCACTTTATTTCTTTGTGAACGGAACTTCTTGCCGCCCACATTCATCTTAAGGAGGACACGACAACATGCTGTTTTCCGCTCGACCATAGGAGAGATACAGCTTCCTTGCTTTCTTAATATTGGTGAATGAGCCACTTTTGTGCAGATAATGACTCGGCTAATCATAATCAGAAAGCTAATGGTCTGTTTAGCCAATCAGAGGAGCTAAGGCGAGACGGCTGTCTGGGCTGTGCATTGGCATTCCCAGCAGCCGCTGCTTTCCCTTCGGCTGTGCCAGGCTCGCAGCACTAAGGCAGACTTGGTATTCCGCTGCCTGCTCGGCCGGTCCTTCTGTGATCTGTCTCTCTGTCTGTCTGACCAGCCGACTGGCCCCCGCGCTGTCGAAGAAATTCAGTCCTCTGAAGAGGCGCTGATCCATCACACCTCTCCAGCAGCATGTCATCTAAATGCTAAGTACTTCCACTGCATCTTTAAATCAAAACAAGAAAAGAAATGAGCACGGGAGGTGAGCGCTTGGAGGGGATAAAAGCTTATAAGGGCACAATAGAATCTACCAAGCAAACCCTTAGCTTTTTGATTACATTCATTTTCAAAGGAGAGGAAATGTGGGAAGGGAGAAACTGAGTGAATAAGCATGAGAGACCCTGTTATACTTTTAAATGTTCAAGGAATACAGGGAAGGCATGGTTTTTGCCCCTAAACAGTCCCTCAAAGAATATAATTTTGTTGTTTTAGTCCACTTCAAACATCATCATATATGTGCCCGAGCCACTCCCGCAATAAGGACTCCCTCCCGCTCCCCCATCTCCCCGTCTGAGCCCAAGTCTTTGCTATCGATTGGAGCGATTCCTGAAGTCAGGGCAAGTGCTGAGGCGGCAGAAGCGGCCGACACTATTAACTGCTCCTACTAATTAAAAGGGTAACAAGGTGAGTTTGGCCCCGCGGGACAACTGTGCAAGAGACGGAGCCGGCTGTTGGCCCGCCATGCACACCGGTAAACAGTGCTTAGCGCCTATGGTGTTTACAAGACAGAAATCCAAGGACATCGAAGACATATTCATCTCCCGCCGGCACAAGGGATGGGGGGAGATTTACAGATAAAGAGTGAGAGAGAGAGAGTATGCGCACTAACAAGCGCTTTGCTAATTGCTTATATTGCGGTGAAATTGAAACATTTGGACCTCGTCTCTGAGCTCGGGGTGCCCTCGTTTCATCATCACTTGTAAACACTGAGCACTGTGCATAAATGATAAAGTTTCCCAGTTCAAATGAGGTGTGCAGCACGGATCTTTGAGAGGGTGCCAGTGGAGACTGGCAACAAAAAAATAATAATATTAAGGGATTCAATTAACGTCGTTCCTTATCATCAACACAACATATTTTAGGATCAAAGTATTTTTGAGATACAGTATGCCTCGCATTACCCAAAATAAAATCATCAGCCAAGGTAGCATTGCAACTCACAGAAACCTCTGTAGCTGAGACGAAAAGCCACTGCAGGCACAGCAGACGGCTTGTTTGCTCAGTGCTCAAGGGGAAACAATGCAGAGGCTGCATATTTGGTGGCACTTCGAGCTGCAAAATTGTCACCAACAGCACAGCGTGCCATTGTAGAGAGAGGTGCTATGCTGCGCCATCACTGCAGTAAGTAAGAATCTTTCCCTAGGGGTCTCTCCTAACAAGTGGACTCCTGCACAGGACTTAGCTGGGTTCATCAACCGGAGCCTCAGAAAGGTCCCAGTCATAACAATTCACTGGAGCTTCTGCTGTTATTAGCCATAGCCAGAGCTTACTGAAGAACCTGGGTGGATGGTTCACATTCACCGTGTGAGCCTGATGTACTGAAGCATCAGAGCATCACACCCAGAGCTGCCTCAGAGGAAAAAACCTGATTAGTTTCCAAGCAGCATGTTCTGTTTGCTGCTTTATTTCTGATGTGCCATCTGCAGAAAAAAACCCCTCTATTTTTCAAATCTTCTAATTAAGTTTTGCTCTTTAAAGCAGGATTTAATGAATTCATACAAAGCAAGCTATAGCCACAAAATTGGCATGATCCGGAAGACTTGAACCATGTGCAAGTCTTCTGCAGAGAACACAGATTCATGTATTCACTAAATAAATGAAAACAAATTCAGAATTCATGTTCAGTGCAAAGTAGAACACAAATCAAGCGTATTTTAACAGCCTGTGTATTGATTTTGATGCTGTAAAGAAATTCATGAGGCCCCCAGAGAAAGATGATAAGACACATTTAAAGTTTCAAATGCTTTGCAAACAGGCCAGCTGGAATACAAAGTCTTTACCATCAGCTAAAACTTCACTAAGCCATTATATTGTGCTTTATATTAAAGTATTAAATGCAAGACTGAGTACATATACTGGTGAAAAAGTGTCAAAAATAAAAACTATATATTATATAGGTAGATGGTGCTGCATGCATTAATTACAATTAAAAACATATTAACAAATGTACTTGAAAAACAATGTTCTGTGCTACTAAATCAGCATTTGAGTAATTGTATTTGCTTTCTACCACTGGAAACAGGCCTGGGGTTTGTTTTGAGGATGACTACAGCATTTTAAATTAGATAGAAATGTTAGCTTGTAGCCGGGTGCATCATGGGGCTGCAGCACTGAACAATTTATTAAAAATACATACACTAAAGATCCAAAGGGCTCAAAAACATCCTAGCTTTGAAACGGGATGCTGCTGAGCCTGCATGTCCGGTCTACGCGAGAGCTTTTCTGCATCACTGTTACAAAAGAACCCCGTGTTGGTGCCCTTTGGCTTTGACAAATTTACACCAGACAAAACTCTGGAGGCAGGCAGAGTGCAGGCTAAAACACAAATGGCAGTTCAAAGCTTGCCAATGACAGAACTTCAAATAGGGGAGCCGGGTACAGTGTGCTGAAAGTGACAGCAGAAGGGACCGCATTCACTCTGGACTGGAAGGAGAAGGGGGCAACATGCGCCTGGCAAAGTCAAACTGACAAAAGAACTCTTTAATAGATAATGGCAGTACCAGAGGAGGCAAAAACAAAAACACAATGTGTTACTTTATTATAGCATGTAAATGAATACCACAGGAAACACTATAAACTGAGAATGTGATCATGAAGCGTCCTGCAGAATTCCTGCACAATAACACAACACCTATGATAACACAAATGGAAAAGGAAATGGAATGGTGGGAATATATTAGCTGTTTCTCTGTTTTCTGAACATCTCTATCAATCTAGCCTATTTCAATACATTTTCGGCATCTCTCCCCATGCTATCTGCTCAAGACTGATGATCGTGCCTCAGCGTGTGACAAACAGATGAGGAGAAACCAAAGAAGCACATTTTTCTTTTCCGCTTGATAAATAGAAGATCTGCAAATGAAACTGAAATAAATAGTATATTTGCTTATCAAGTGTAACCTCTGTGTACTATGCATTTGCTCGGCAGGGGCACCCGAGCGTTCGAACATCAGTCATTTTATAAATGTACATCCAAAGGCAAAGCAGCCCAGCTACAGTGTGTTATCCCCGATGATCCAGAGAGGGCCTGTCAGATACAATATGACAGGAGTACCGTCAATTCACAAGCAGAAATGGGTACGAAAGCCTGGAGGTGGGCCAGTAAAACATAAAAGCTAGACTCCATGCTCTTTTGTCTGATGTATGTATCAAAGAAACAACGGCGGCATGTTCCTGTCATTCGATTATGAGTGAATTAAAAAGAACAGTTTTATTAAATTACAGATTTCTTGTGGCAGACAGCAGTACTACTACAAAAGCAGTGAAAGTTAAACCCTGTTTCATTCAAGCGAGCACACTAGAATTGATTTCAACAGTTTGTTTTTGCATTATTGTTGGAATTTTACTTGCTGCTGCACAGAAATTAAATAATTTCGGCACTGAATGAGACTGAAAGCCAGCAGAGCAATGAAGGACATGGTGCACAGCATGCATATCTAATATCTGCAAATGTTCCAGGCCTGGTTTTTCAGTGCAGTTTGAAAATGCAAACATTTTTCTAATGACAACCAGTTTTGATTTTCTGAATCATTATTTTCTTTCTGTAATATACCCGAGACCATTTCCTCTTATTGGAAGAACATTTTACTGTATGTTTCCTTCTGAGCCTTTGGCACAAGCAGTTGCTATTAAAAAAATAACCTACTTTACTTCTCTTATTATGCATTTTATTTGGGCTAAACTAATGCTGCTGGTCACAGTGCTACAGCACCTAATCAAAGAGATTCCATCATCACAACCACCTTTATCTAAAGATGGTGCCCCACTGAGAGTGAGTCGGTTTGAAGAGATTCCAGAGGCGACAAAGAAGAAAACAAAAAAGAAATAATTTACATATCCTAAAAAAATACAATGAAATCATATAAAATACAAGTGCAAAGTTATATGCTAATGAAACTGCAAGTAAAACTAAACCAACACTGAAGGACCTCTTGAAATAGAGCTTTTATTCTCAGTAGGGCTAGTTGTTTTGATAAAGATTTAGCAACTAAAGCGATTATAAAGAGTTCTTATAAAAATGTAATTACATGTACAGATGAAAGACAGGCGGCTAATGTGAGCCTTCAGCACAGCAGCCAGCTCTGCAGCATTTACTTTACTTTTGAAAACGACTTTACC